AGGTTGTCCCTCAGATTATCTCAGTCTTCACATACTAGGCAGAAAAAGTGTTTCGTTAAGGTAGCAAAAGATCAGCCAGGATGCTGAGTCAAATACCTTTACTTTTCAACATATTAAAAAACAGGGAATATGAATATCTGCGTATGGCTGGAAGAGAAGTCCTCTGCTGTAGCTACTGAACAGAGATGCTGATAGCAGAACTCATACAGGACACTTTACAGGTCCTTGCATTAGGAATATAACAAGGAAGGCATGTGTGGAAAAAGGGAGACACTCAAGGGAACCTATTGCCACTGGATTGAAATGATGAGCAGGTCTCTTCCTGACTGAGCAACTACCAGCTATCACTCCTGCAATGCTATAAAGTGATGGAAAGTATAGCAATAGTAGCAGAGTAGCACTATCCTAGGCTGCAGCAAATGAGAACAAACCCAAATGCAGCAGCCAGGGACACAGAAACAAAAGAAGAAAAACTGCTCACCTTTAGAAAGCCTCCAGTAGGTAGGGATCTCCAGCACAATACCTTTGCCTTTACTGCCAACCCTCAAATGAGGTCTGGAAGGGGTGGATCCTAGCTGCAACCCTTCCAATCACTCAGGTGCATTGCATGTAGCTGAGCTCCCCTAGATTGGCCCTGCCTTCCTACCAGGTGCTCAATCACTGTTTCAGGCCATGATTTAGCATTTCTACTACACCTCCTAATGTAGGAACCTCAGAAATCAAAGCAGCCTGACTTACCAGGCAGAAATCCCAATATGCTCCCAAAATTACAGAGGACAAAGACTTTGGCATAAAAAGACTTTCTTTTTCTCTCTTTGTAACTCCAAGGTGGTATAGAATCTGTTAGGGAAATATGTAAGCCTACAGATTATTTGTCATAACTGTATCTGGTGTAGTGAATGGTAACAGATATAAATTTACATTAGAAGCTGTGAAACCTCAGTCAAACCTAAAAAATTAGCATGTCATAGAATCATAGAATCATAGAATCATAGGGTTGAAAAGGACTACGTTGATCGTCTAGTTTCAACCCTGCTGCTATGTGCAGGATCGCCAATCACTAGACCAGGCTGACCAGAGCCAGGCCTTGAATGCCTCCAGGGATGGGACATCCACAACCTCCTTGGGCAACCTGTTCCAGTGCATCACAACCCTTTGTATGAAAAACTTCCTACTAATATCTAACCTAAACCTCTCCTGTCTCAGTTTAAAACCATTCCCTCTTGTCCTATCACTATCTACCCTTGTATACAGCCATTCCCCCTCCTGTTTATACGCTCCCTTCAAGTATTGGAAAGCCACAATGATGTCTCCCCAGAGCCTTCTCTTCTCCAAGCTAAACAGTCCCAGTTCCCTCAACCTTTCCTCATAGGAGAGGTGCTCCAGCCCTCTGATCATCTTAGTGGCCCTCCTCTGGATCCAAGATCTCCACATCCTTCCTGTAGTGGGGGCCCCAGGCCTGGACGCAATACTTCAGATGGGGCCTCACAAGAGCCGAGTAGAGGGGGACAATCATCTTCCTCTCCTTGCTGGCCACCCCTTTTTTAATACAGCCCAAAACACAGTTGGCCTTCCAGGCTCCAAGCACACACTGATGAATCATGTCCAGCTTCTTGTCCACCGGGACCCCAAGTCCTTCTCTGCAGGGCTGCTCTCAAGGAGATCTTCCCCCAGTTTGTATAAATACCTGGGATTGCCCCAACCCAAGTGCAGCACCCTGCACTTGGCCTTATTGGATCTCATTAGGCTTTCATAGGCCCACTTCTCCAGCCTGTCCAGGTCCCTTCCTTCCAATGTATCGACTGCATCGCTCAGTTTGGTGTCATCTGCAAACTTACTGAGGGTGCACTCGATGCCATCGTCTGTGTCATTGATGAAGATGTTGAAGAGTACCAGTCCCAAGACCGACCCCTGAGGGACACTGCTTGTGAGCAGCCTCCACCCTGACACAGAACCATTGATCACAACCCTTTTGCTGCGTCCAGCCAGCCAATTCGTAATCCATCAAACAGTCCATCCTTCAAATCCACACCTCTCCAATTTGGACAGAAGGATATGGTGAGGGACCAAGTCAAAGGCTTTGCAGGAGTCCAGACAGATGACATTTATCGTCTTCCCCCCATCCACTGAAGCCATCAGTCTATCATAAAAGGCCACCAGATTGGTCAGGCAAGATCTGCCCTTGGTGAAGCCACGCTGGCTGTCCCATATCACCTCTTTATGTCATATGTGCCTTAACATAGCTTCTAAGAGGATCTGCTCCATGATCTTCCCAGGCACAGAGGTGAGGCTTACAGGCCTGTAGTTCGCCAGGTCTTCCTTTCCTACTTTTTTAAAAATGGGAATAATGTTCCTTCTTTACAGTCACGGAGGACTTCACCAGACAGCCATGATTTTTCAAATATGATGGAGAGTGGCTTGGCAACCACATCAGCCACCTCCTTCAGAATCCTAGGATGGATATCATCTGGCCCCATGGACTTATATATGTTCAATTTCATGAGGAGGACTTGGACTTGTTCCATTGTTACAGTTGGACAGAAACCACTCCCCACACCTTCACCTAGAGGCTCGTGGTCCTGGAAGACATGGGAAGCCTGACCACCCATGAAGACTGAGGCAGAGCACTCATTGAGTACCTCAGCTTTTTCTACGTCTGAGGAAGCCAGCTCCCCATTACCTTTCATCAGAGGGGGAACACTGTCCTTGGCCTGTCTCCTCCTGCCTATGTACCTGTAGAACCCCTTCTTATTATCTTTCACATCCCTCTTCAAGTTCAGCTCCATCTGCGCCTTGGCTTTCCTAATCCTATCTCTGCACACACGGACAACAGCCCTGTATTCCTCCCAGGCTACACAACCCTGCTTCCACTTCCTGTGCATTTCCCTCTTTTCCCTCAGTTTAAACTGCAGGTCCTTGCACAGCCACGGTGGTCGCCTGCCTCCCCTGCTCGACTTCTTCTGCTGGGGATGGAGATCTGTTGCGCTTTCAGAAGGGTGTCCTTAAAGAGCTGCCAGCTCTGTTCCATGCCCATGCCCTTGTGTTTAGGAGCAAGAGGTTTGAGTTGGACTTCTTCACAGGCAGACAAAATGTACTAATTCTGAGTCCAATTCCATGTTTTTCTTGTTTTAGTTGTTATGATAGTCATGGCTACCGCTACAAAATTAGGCCATTAAAAAAAGACAAGCAACTCAATCCAAACGATTCCATTTGAGCTAAACTTGGGCTCAGCAATAGACAGAGACGTACCTATTTAGGACATGTGTTTTCTACTTATTCCTGCCTTTGACTTGTTTTGGATGGTACAGCCAGTTGACAGATGAAATTTCCTTCATAGGGAAAGAAGCTGATATTTTTAAAACTATTTTCATCCAAAGATTTAAGATTAAAACTATTTTCATCCAACACGTTTAGAAAAAAATCAGTTCCGAAATGTCAAAATATTTTTTTTCAATCAAAACCAAACATTCAACATTTCCCAACCTGTTTTAAACATGCTCTCATATGAGCTGGTGTATGCCCTTAATCTGGAGACATGTTGCTTTTCTTGGGAGTGGCAATTCAGGTGCATTATTTTTACTTTTATCATAGAATCATAGAATGGCTTGTGTTGGAAGAAACCTCAAGGATCATCAAGCTCCAACTCCCCTGCCACATTCAGGGCCACCAACCTCCATACCTAGCTCTAGACCATATAGACTTACACATAAAGACTACACAAAGTATTCCATTAGAGCTCAGGATGATGGAAAGCCGTTTGGAAACTGGCATCAAATGGGAAAGTTGCACTTGGGCAGTGCACAATGTGTACATGCTAAAGATTGGTCAAGATGAATACTCTCGTCCAGAAATCCTGTAGATACATCTTCACAATGGGAAGTAATCCATTGGAGCTACCAGTCCAAATTAACACACCATGGACTCCATAAGTACTTCACTTCTCAGGCAAGCAGTGGAAGAATACTCTGTATCTTTCATCTGTTGCTGGAAAGTGGTGCACAAGTCAAAATCACAATTTAAAAGTTAACAGCTGATCAACCTTACTATAAGCCTACTGATACAAAGTCTGCAGAAAGGAAGGATTGCTTTATTTCAGGAAAGAAAGCAAAAAAGTCAGATCCTGCCACCAGAAGAATTACTTTTAATTTCTACAGGTTTCATGTTTGTTCTTTTGCCTGAGCTGTGCTTTGGGGTGCATTGGCTCTTTTCTCTGGAGTAAAATATTAAAAATCTACATTTTTGGGGGGGATCTCCACAATTTTTTAAAGGTATGGCAGAAGTGTGGTACTGTCACAGTACAGTTTTAATGGGAGAAAAGTGTTGCTGTGTTGTCTTAAAGATTTTATTAAATTGTGCTTAGAATTCATTCATTTTGTTCACTCAGATTATAGATGAAATTCTTGTTGTAGGATGTTTATATGTCCCAGAGTATTCATAATTCATTGTGTTCAGCCATCTACAAGCGTTTAATTACAGACTGTCTGTTTCATGTAAAAAATGCTTGCCAAGACTCTTTTGGCAGAGTAAGGAATGAATTTTGTGAAGGAAAACCAAGTTGCTCATCAGTGGCGGCAGCAAAAATGGGGAAAAGAGCTACCCAAGAGTTTCTTGAAGATTCCAGTTGATGGATCCTGGCATTATTTGGTCTCTTATATAAACCTTGATGAAATGGTGCTAAATTTTGTGTGGAAAGCTTTATTTCTTCCCCCCTTCAAGAACTGTAGTTGAATGTACATTTAAAAATGGTATGTGAAAATTACTCATAAGACATCATTATACAAGATATAAGCACAAACAGTACAGAAAGGGAGAAAGCATCTAGTCTTTGAAAATACTATTTGTGCTTCGTGCTTTTTTAAAACATAAACATTCATTATCAGGATCTTACTAAAGTGAGGCTGCATTTTCACCTTCCACTGTCTCACAGCATAAAAATAGCATATTTGAACTGACCAGAAGATGGATGTCTCTTTGCTTTCATATTTCTTTTTTCTTTGCAGATTTTTATGAAAATTTATGCCTTGCTGTTGAATGTTGAAAAAATCCACTGAGATGCTTTTAAAGTTAAGCCTGAAGATTTAAATTGGAAATGACTGAAGAATGAGTTTGGGTCTTTTTGAAGTGCTATTGTTTTGACTCCTTGAAGGCCCCACATGAATACTTTCTCTCTCCTTCTCTTTCCTTGGAGATTCATAACTGCAACTGCTGTGCAAAGTAAAGTTTCCACTGAGGACTAGCTAAGCAAATCCGTCATGCTGAAAGTGAAAGTTGTATCAGAAGGAGTGGGATTTCCTGAAGTGCTGCAAGTCTCAGTACTGGAGCAGGCTCTATTTCAGTCATCCCTCCACTGCAGCATACATCAATAGATGGAATCAGTGCATCTTTTCTATTTTACTTCAGCCTCCTACTCACTGACCGCAGCAGGGACTGTGTCGCACCATTGAGCACCAAGCGGCACTGGAGAGAGGGAGTCCAAATGTCCACAGAGGCCCTGAGGTGTGCCTAGAGGAGGAGAACACCCCAGGGTGTCTCACCTTCCTCCTCCATCCTCCTACCAAAGCCAGATGCCCTGAATGTGCTGAGCTAAACTGAAACCCTGCCCTGTGGCTTTGGGGAGCAGTCAGCTGTGCAGCCGTGGATGCTGTATACTGAGGGAGCACTACTCTCTTGCTTCTATTGGTAGAAGTGAGTTTTTCTTAAAAAACAGCAAATTATACAGTCTCACACCTGACTCTCCAGCTGAATGGGTGGAAATGTCTTTTGCTGGGCCTCAACAGTAAAGGAGCCAAAGGCCAGGGGTCAGCTATTAGATTCAGCTGTTCCCTATTGCAGGTTCAACTCGTGTTCCCTGGCCTGGCTGCGCTCTGAGGAACCTTGAGGCACTTGTGCCTTTGTGGTATGAGCTCATTTGTTGTCATTTCCACTTTGGAGTGGGAAAAAAGGTCATAAGAAGAGATCAGTAAATGTGCAGCATTCATAAGCAAGGCCTCTTCAAAAACAGACATGTTGCAGTGTTATCATATCCAGGAAAACAGCAACAGACAGCATAGCTTTAAAATACCACCCAGGAAGTCTTGCTTGGAAAGGACAACTCACAGCATCAAAGCCTGGACATACTTGCCAAACCATGCTTTAACTTACTGCCAAGACACCAGATTTATCCCCTTAGTAGCAATGATGCACTAGGCAAGATGGTGGCTGCTACAGCAAAGTGGGGATGGGTTTGTTTCGTAGTGGTCACAATTGTTGCTCGGCCTCTAACTCTGCCTTGCTGGTCTGTTCAACTTCTGCAACAACGACAGAAGGAACCCTACAGACATTAATACTTGATGCGAAAGGTACATGAAATTAGCCTGAGGACTGTTTGGGAATAAGTAACTCTCAAGCATACAATAAGAATTCAAGAGAATTAATTTAACAGCTAAAAGTCAAATGTAATGAAAAAATATTTATGAAAATTTTTTATGTTTAGGTGAATAGTTTCAAGCCAAAAATAAATGAGAAATATGCATGGCCTGATAGAAATTGGACTGTGTTTAGATTCTGATAACCTGAAAGAGAATTTTTTAGCATAATGATAAGTTTGGGTGATTATTTGAAGAATAAGAACAGAATGGCTGTTCTTGACTTTAATTTGGAGCCAAAATATTCTATGTAGAGAACTTGTGAAATTCATATCCCCTTTAGTTCTGCAGTCTGTAATTACTCACTTACAGGACATAGTATTCAGATTTATGAGGAAGAAGGAGAGAGTGGCAGTCAATTGTTATTTTTTATTTCTAGCCAGTGTTTGCAGATTCAATTGTGATAACCAACCAAAACCTGATTTTTTTCCCTTCAAACAGCTCTGTCTGTGGTAAAAAGTGTGTATCCATGTTTTACATCTTTTTCAGTGCATAAACATTTAAGGATACTTACTTAACCACATGACAATTTTCTGAGCCTTGCAAGTCTTACAAATCCCTAATCACAGGTTGATATATTCAATAACGTAGAATTAATGAGTAACAGTTGAAATGTGCCTGGCTTAGGTGGCTACTGAGGTTCTGTGGTGTTGAAATAATAAGGTGTGGGTCTGGTTAGAAGGGGACTAGGCATCTGTTCCCACCTCAGCTATGACTTCCCATACTAGTACCCATATTCATGTGGAGAATTATAGCACTAGTGATTGTGCTATTACAGTGATAGTGATTACTGAAGTAATCTAAACAGAAAACTTTGCTTCTCTGGAAGTGGGGAATAACTACTGTATTTTAGTGACATGCTAATTGAACCTCGGTTTGAATGTCCAAAGGTGTAGTTCCTGGCTGATGCATTTATACACTATTGAATGTAAATTTTTACTCACTTAATCTTGTCTTAATGTGATTCTTTGGTTGACAAGGTAAGTTTGTGACTTCTGAGCTGAGAATTGTCTTAAGCTGGTCACAGCTTTCATTTGGAGCAAGCACTATACTTGTTACTGTGACAGAGGCCCTTAAACAGGAAGACGGGTAAATTCTACCAGCAAGGAATGGTAGCTGGCCTCACTGGGACATGTAAAGCTTTTTGGTAAGAGAGGGCATAGCAATGAACAACTTCCTGGAAACCTTAGCAATGCAGAGGTTTGAAAGAACTATATTGGCCTGCAGTTCATAAACATCATAGGCTGAATAATCTGCTTCTAAGTGCATCAGAAACTTTTGCTCATATATTTAGACTTCGCTTCTAGAACTAAAAGTGCTAAAAAATGGCAAGACTAAAAAGGCAGCACAGCAATAAAAATTCCATTTTGACTCTGGGGAGAGCTTCAGAGATGTTGTGGTCAGAATTTTCTCCATTATTTGCAAGTTCTCAAAGAAGAATCTTCTTTCTTTTGGATTAGCTTTTTGTAAAATCTATTAAGATTTTTAATTGCATTTAAAAATATTATGTTTTGAAACTTAGTCTGCAGGAAGTTTAACCAGACCTTATTAAGGACTCTGAGTGTGACAGAAGCTTGTGTATCAGCAAGGTGCTTTGCTTGTCTGCCCAATGCCAGTTTGGGGAGTAAACAGAGTGAGGGAGGCTCAAATTATGAGCTGCTTTGGTCTTCATAGTCAGTAAGTACTTTGCCACTTCCATTGCCTCATTACATCTCTTCTATTAGAAAGCCTTCATAAATTACAGGAATAAGTGGCCCTTAGCAAATAACTTCAAAACAGAGCAACTAAGTAGGACTGGAGGAGAATGGGAAACTCCATTCTGCTACTGCTAAAGCAGATAGTTCTGAGCTGCTGGCATTTTTTTCCCCTTCTCTGCTTAGGATGAAAGACAAAAATGTTAATAATTTCCACAAATTGAAAATCTGAAAAATGTGAGCTGAGGTCAGCTGGAACATTTCATTTCTATAATTTTGTAATATCTTTTGACAATGCTGATCTGTCTTTAATCTATTTATGCCTAAATTTGCTAAGATTTCAAAATTTTAAAAAGTTCCAGCTTGAAGGAAACAAAAGCTTTCTAACTCAAAATGTTGAAGAAAGACTACATTTTAATGTTTTCAAAAAATAAATAAATCAAGGAGCAATAAGAAATTGAGCCTTTTCTTAGCCATTAGTCTGAGTCATAACACAGATCAGTAACAAATGCTGTGTATTTCAGTAGGAGAGCACTCCAGTGACTAACTTTTTTTCCTATCCGGTTGACTGCAGTGACATTTGGGTCAGGCCTACTAAGATGGTTCTCCTAACTGTGCCAGTGCCAGAAAAATGCTTGCATGGTGATAAGTCAATGGAACATCAAAGAGAAATATTCATTTTTTTAGTCAAGAGCAAGATATTTGATGATGGAACTAATCCCTAGGCAATAAAAATTTTCCTTTACAGTCAATTCTGTGATTAAGCCAAAGCCACTGCTTTGTTCCTCCACCTGTCCCTATGAGTCAGCAGTGCTTTCCTCATGCTTTTCCTCCAAGTTAGATGACAGTGCCTCTCCTGTGCTGCAGATGCACAAGTGTTTTGCCTACAGTTGTGACTTGTTTAGCTTTTGCAATGTTGGGAGCCACTCTGAGCTCTGGCACACTTTTTACCAAATAGGAGAGTCTGGTGGGGGCAATCTCATACTGCTCATGGCTTTGTTACTGTAAAAATCAGGAGTTTGAAAATCTCATCACAACCATTTGTAATTTGCTTAGAACTGTAACGAAAATGCTAAATTTTGTCCTTAAAAGTACTGAAATTTTTAAGATTTAATCCCATTGGATTCTAAAAGCCAGAGGTATAATATACATCTTTGTGCCAAATTTTCTCATAGTGTTTTGTTCCTTACCTGCAACTCCAGTGGGCACAAAGACATGTCCACTTGGTAGTGCTGTACATGTGAGTTACACTGTTGTAACATCTCTGTAAGAAGAGTTTCTTTTTTTGCAAGGACACCTTTGAAATTCTATCTGGTCAGTGTCTGAAGTTAGAACAGGAGCAAAACATTGTCCTCAAGTACCAGGCTGAGAGATTAATTCAAATGTTATTGAACTTTTGCTCTGAGTTAAGGTCAATTGTATGAATGAACTTATATTCCGTTTCCAAATGGGCACATCTGTAATTTACAATATATGTTTTAGTATATCACATAACTACATTTTGCTTCTGATTCTCTATACTGGGGTAAGTATTTGGTGGCTTTTGCCAGATGTTCTTCTGAAGCCAATGTGAATATCAACAACATGAAGTAAGAGGTGCCACCTGTACAAGTGTCATGCCAGGCCACGCAGTGTGCTTCCCACCTAATCACAGAGAGAAAGAATCTGTGTGACTCAGAGAGGCAAAGGAAAATAAATGTCAGACCTCTGGACTGAGAGCTCAGCTGCCAGAGAGGAGGGTTGTTGGAGCCAGTGAACTCTCCATTGCCTTATTGGAGAGTTCAAAGCCAACTCCCCATTGGCTTTTAGGTCTGTGATTTCTGTCGCCATGGCATCCATCTCCCCCACAGAAACAAAATTCTGCATTTGGCTGCTACTGCTTTGGTAATAGCAGTGGGACCAACTACTTTGAGGTATGGTGTTGCTCATACAACAAGTAAACATGGCAGTAAACAGGCCAACACAAAACACAGAAGAGTATACAGTATACATACACAAACTTTAAACTGACTCCTCTCATGCCATAATGATGAGCAACATATTCTGACCATTCCTTTCCCATGCAGGCTTAGCCTGGCTGATCTGTGTACTCAGCACTGAAACCTACACTTTTCCCAGGACCCATCAGGTCAGACTGCCCATAAACCAGTGCTTCTTTGATGGCCCTCATCCTGCTTTCAATTGATGTGGCAGTGCGTGAATACCTATGACCGAAAGCTTGATATAAAATTCATTTGTCTAAACACCAGCTATTTATGTTTGATGGCCTGAACAATTATTAATCTTGATTGGAAATATAAGTCATTGTGTGCACAGTATCCTGTCACAGCATCCCTGTTAGCTCCCCCGAGGCCAAATTCTCTGACAATGCACACAGTGTCCGGTTCTTTCTGCACACAGCACCGTGCCCTAGCTGAAATCCCAGGCAGGAAACCTCTTTTTCTGTATGCTCACCAGTGTGGATGATCCCCAGGAATTTCCCGGGTCTGCCAGTGTATATCCCATAAGACAAGAGACAGGCCTTGCACCGCTGTGCCCAACAGTTTCCATATTTTCACATACTGTTCAAAAATGCCATAAAGCACATGCCAACCTCGGCAAGCAAAGCACATGTCCCTCCTGCCAGGACATGAGCTCCCACACAGTCCTGTGCCTGGGGAGAGCTCTGAAGGAAACAGAGCCTCCTTTAACCCACAGTGAGAGTGAAAAGTACCAGAGTTGCTGTTCCTTGATGGTAGAAACACAGTATGATCCCTCTTTGCTTCCCTCTAATGTCTGAATTCTCACTCTTATTTCAGGACTCTGCTCCTCCACTGCCACCAAAATACCAAATCCAAGGCTTCCAGATAAGCTACATCTGCCAAGCAAACAGTCACATATATGAAACCTAGTACAGCAGGACCTACCACCCGATGCCTTGCTGGCTGCATCTAGTATGAACGTGTACCCAGTGCTCTTTTGTCAGCAGTTGTCCCACACAGCCACCCCCAGCCACTACACAGCCCACAGAAATACGGGTGTTGGTCTGGGCTGTGGCAGTACTTATTTGCCTCATCTGTCACATCCTCTTTTATTTTTGTGATTCCTACAAGAAATGTGCGTCTGTTCTTGATTTGTTATTAGAAATCTCTTTGTGAGTGAATAAGAGCAGAAGGAGAGAAGACAGACCACAGAGCACTGTGGATTACACACTGTTCAAAGGCACACTGGGCAGAACGCAGCACAGACAACCCTCAGAAAACTGCAGAGATTATTTTTGGGTCTGCAGAGTGGATCAAACCAGGTGCTCCTCTGTTCCCTCTTGCTCATTCCAGAAGCATTATCGGGAACAACCTACCAGGGGATTGCAGTAATGACAAAATCAACATACCGATTTTGAGTGTTCAGTCTTGTAGAAGAATCTTCGAGTATCTTCATTTTAACTTCAGTTGGATGTTCCATTTTCCGTTAGATGACAAAATTGCCCTACATACAAAAAAAATCAAGGCTGTTTTATTTTCTTTAATACTGAATGAGTTAGAAACGCAATGTAAGACTATAACTAATATTTTAGTGCTGGTAGCTAAAATTCCTGGATGTTAATCCAAAAGGGATTATAATAAACATTTACCTAGACCACCTGCCTGAAAATGAGCACAAACTGAATGAAGGGGCACTGTACCTCTGGCTAGATATTCCCGTATTACCTCTTTCAATTACACAAAATCGAGAATACAGCAGTTTTATCACCCAGCAAAAGCCACATGCACTGTCAGTTGGTTCTCTTGTATTCCTACACAATGAACTGCAATGACACTTTGTGTACAGTGAATCAATACAAGGATATAACCTTTTATCAACACAATTCTAGAGAATTTAGAAACTTACTTTCAATTTGAAAAGTTAGATTTCTCTAAAGTCTGACTGACAGTGCATGCACATTTTTTTCCCCACAAAACAAAAATAATGAAGTAAATTCCTTAAGGATAATACCGAATCAATCAGAAACACCTCAAAAATATTTTCGGTTCCTCCAGATATTTTTTCAGATGAGTGGAAAAAAAAGTGGCAAACTGGAATAGCTGAAAACCCTGCACAATGTTAAATGATTAATACTAGGTAAAATTTTTACAATCAATAAGATTATTTAAAACTGAATTTATAGTGAAGTAGAAGACTAGTGGGGTTGTTTTATTCTGCTTTTTTTTTTTTTTTGTATGTGTGTGTGTATGGTATTAGTGGATTTTGCTTTTTTTTTTTTTTTTTTTTTTTCATTTCAGAAATGAAATATTCTGTTTGGTGAACTTACTCAATTGCTCCTGAAAATTATTTGTCAGTGAGAGGAGTAATGAGAACATAATAGCCAATCCCTCAAAAGTTCAGCTGGATTAAAAGCAATTTGAAATCTTTTCTGGAACTAAAATGAAGTTATTTGCAGATGGACTTCATTAGAAAAACTGGTGGCAAGAATTATTTCATATCTCTAAATGTGTCTAGCCAATATCCCCTATGCCTTAATATTTTCAGTATCGGAGATGAATGCTTTCTTTGTAGTCATCTGCTTGCATTAAGGAAGCATCATACATTCACACGTGCATATTTACACACCTATGGACAAACCATATTTATATATGCACACAATATTTTCTAATGGAAGTAGATGATGTATATCCGTGTATATAAAGAGATTTTCAGAAATTTGTTTAAAAAAAAAAAGAGCTGCACTTGATGCTAAGAAACATACTTGTCCTAAATGTTTTTTGTTTTTTAAAGCTGCACTTCAGAAAGGTAACAGCTTCTTTTATACTATACTGATAATGTAAATTGAATATTGCTATTGCAAAAGTATTTTCCTGCTACGTATGAAATGGATGCGCCTCAGAGAATATATCTGCCTCCATATCACCCCAAGACCTTCAGTTAGCTACAGTACCACACACAGGCAGGGAGTTAGGTGTATAGCTATCCAGACTGCATACATTATCTGATTGGCATATCCACTTGCTACTTTACTGCCATAAATGAGTGGCTGTGCAGGTGCCATTAGCACATGCATCTTTTTCTGAATGCGCCATTGTAGGAGTAGCTGAAAAGCTATTTGTACTGCACAGTCAGAAAGTTGGCAGCAGTGCTGGGTGAAAAATGGCAAGTATGTTTCAAGAAAAATTCAAAAAACTTCATGTTTACTCTGCATTTTTTTTTGACATCTCAATGAGAAACTGAAAAAATCTTAAAGGTACTGAAACCACGTATTTTTCATGTTTTAGGTTAGTAATTTTTGTGTTTTCCCTTTCTCACCTTCCTGCTTCCATTTTGTTTTGTATTTTTATTTCTTCTCTTTTGCTTTTAATGATCAAGTAGAAGAGAATGAAGGAAAAGTAACAAAAAGAGAAAGAGGGTGGAGGAAACAATAACTGGGTTGTTTACTGTAGAGGCTTTTATACCTGTACTAAAGTAATAAATAGTGTGCCAGTAGGTTGAGCACAATGATACACAAGATAGATTATATATTTCCGATTTGATAGAAAACTGTTTGGCTTGCTCAAGAAATGTCCCTGCAGGTAGCTGTAGATTTTGCTCCCATCCTTTTGCATTCTTAAAAATGGAATAATGCTTTCTTAAGTGACATTTTTAAATGTTTCTATCTTTCTGGTTCATGGATTGGGATGGTAGCAATTTATAACCTAATTTATAACCTAAACTGGTATAAATATATGCTTCATGCGTATGTGCAACTTTTGTAAGTCTTTTAGTTAGCCAGGAGAAGAAACAAAAAAGTAATAGTTACAAATTTAGGCTTAAGCTATTCCTCCATTTCAAGCTTCATTTGTTTGCTTTCCACCTCAGCAGCTGCCAGGGGCACCCTTCAGTAGGAACCAAATAAATCCATACCATCTGTTCCTCTCTGAAATGGTCCAAACCATTAACTATCTCAACATTTAAGAATTGAAAGAGCATCTCAGCTTCAATAAAAAACAAAACAAAACAAAACAAAACAGCGGAATAATAAAAGCTTTGTTATGCAATTTGCAAGCATGTGACTGGCAATTACAGTAAAATCTTCATCATTCCAAAACAAAAAATTAACTTACAGTCTGAAGTGCACTGTCTTCATCTTCAAATTTGGTAAATGCCAGTATGTTTTGGCTGGAATTTGAAGCTGTCATGTATTTAGTTTATTACAAATTAAATTTCAGGATCTCTTGATAGTTAGCATATCCCTTCAACGTGTCATGGCATGGCACCTGTGAGGAAAAATATAGACTTGTGGGTACAGAAACAGTTATTTGAGAAAGCCTTCAGGGCTCTCCCAGAACCTCAAAGCATATTTATCCCTATAGACTAGAAGGTTATTCTGCTCTCTTCGTATCTCCCACCCAGTGTTCATAAATAAAAGCACATTTTGAACTCATGCCTTTAATCTGAAATCCCAAGGTAAGGATTGACTGGAATATATTGGAACAGATCTTTAGGTTTGGACTAAACTCTCATCTTAGGTCATCGTCATGCCTTTCAAGAACTCAAAAAACTACTGTAATATGTTATTTTGGTTCAGGGCTGTGCAAATCTTGCCCAAATTCTAAGTGCATGAGCTGTCAGCAAAGAGCTGTATAGCTGTAAGCAGCAGGCAGTTCAACTCAATTTGAATGAAACTTCTCCCCACTTTCAACATGGCAAACTTCTCTCCAAATCAGCTGATTAGAAAAAATGTCTTGATATGCCAAGATAAAAGCAGATAAGCCAGACTGCTCATTTGTTTTCCAGGGCAAGTTTCATGCAGTTTATTAA